CAGCCCATTGTTCCTTCAGTGGGCTGGTTTCAGTCATTATGCAAATGTACTGTTTATAAGATTGGGGAACCCTGCAGTCAGCTGAGACTGAAGAAGTCACTTGGATGAGTGATGAAACATTTCTCCCACAAAAATATTTAAATATTAGACAAAAATACTACGAAATGCTCTTTCTAAATGACAGAGCTTGTTATTAAGTGGAAAGAAAATTCAAAGCTACATGGCCCTGTGTGAAAAGTGATTGTCAACCTCTTAACCAGGTTGCTAAACCATTCACACACTTACACCTATGGGCAATTTAGAGTTACCAAATTACATAACCCCTCTAACTGCATGTCTTCAGAATGTGGGAAGGTCAGAGCACCTGAAGAGAACCCACGCAAACACAAGGGGAACATGCAAACTCCACACCCCGTCCCCCAGGGCATGAAGCAGGTATGGAGGAGATCCAGGCCCCAGACAGAGGCCCCAGAGTACAAGGACCCAAGGAGGACCACCAAAGGGGCAACCGTGCCACCCTCCTGGGAGAGGGGGTTGCAGTGACCTGCCCCCGGGCTCTGCCAGCAGCCAGCTGTGCCAGAGAGGACCGAGCCCCAGGTCCAGAGGCCAGAAGCCTGAGGGCGCCCCACCCCCCAGAAGGGGCCCAGCTGGGCCAAAGACGCCAGGCCCCACCAAGCGGCCACCAGGAGTGAGCAGGTACATACATGAGCACCACAGACACAAATAGACAGTGTACCCAACAATCACACTCCCCAAAACATACTCTATATCTCAGGTCCAGGTACCCCTGCCCCCAGAGGGGCAAACTGTACCTAGACCCAGGAGATGTAACTAGGGCTGGGTATCGTCACTGATTTCTAGAATCGATTCGATTCTGATTCACAAGATCCTGAATCGATTTGATCCACGATTCAATTCAATTCGATTTGTATCTGGGAAATTTTGCTTCACACAGTGAGAAATATTATAATTCAGATCAGTACATTTACATATTATTGTATCTATAAAAAGGAAGCTGACACTTTCCAGACTTTATCAAAGCTGTAAGCATCACAGCAGATGCCTTTGTGTCAAAGTAGCTGAAGATAAAACACAGAAAAACATGAAGGTGATTTTCCTGGCCTGGGATTTTATAAAAATATTCTGCAGTACATCATAAACGAAAGAAAACCATTAATCAACTTACAGTTACAGCAGTTTTAATAGAGACATGGCTAAGAGTTTTGCATTTTGTATAATTTTAAAAAGTTTCAATTTGTTCAGAAGCCTGTTGAACGGCAGAAATTAGGTTTTCTTTTCGGAAGTAAGTAAAAGGGGAAAAAAAAACACCGGCCGACAGCGCTGTAAATAACTGTAGTCTTGTGCGTAACAAGCAAGCGAATAATGCAGAAAACAGATTTCGGGGATAGACGGGAAACTGTTCTTGAAGTACAGAGAGAGAGAGAGAGAGAGAGCTGTGCATGAAGTGTGATTTTATTGTGGTGGAAGCAAAACAGCAAAAGTCAGAGCGAATTCATGACGATGTTTATGTGAAGCTTAGTTTGGATCTTCTTTTGCTGCTGGTTCAGTCAATATTGTTTGGAGAGAGATAAAACTAACAGCTTTAGAATCAGCGCAAAAAGGGCGTAAACACAAAGTGCGGACCCACCGAAACATCAGAATCAGCAAGCTGTTGGCTCTCAGCCCCGACTGTGTCCGTGCCGTCAGGTGAGAAAGGTGACATCTCACTGATTCTGATCCGCGGGTCCGCGCTTTGTGTTTACGTCTTTGTGCAGAAGCCGTGTACCTGCTCTCATTTACTGTTTTAAATGTTTGGTGGTTGTCAAAATTTTGTGACGTTTCACCTGAGATTCTGGAATTTTGGGCAAAATACATTTATATTAAAAAATCGATTCAGGATTTTAATGAATCTATATCAAGTTATCCAAGCCAGAATTGATTTTAATCGATGAATCGATTATTAAAACCCACCCCTAGATGTAACGCTTTTCCCTGGGGTGGAGGCAAGCAAACCGCCACCTTATCTTCAGTAGCAGGGAGGCCCCACATCCCAGACCCCAATCTGACCACCAACACCTCCTCCCAGCCCCCCAGCCCCAACGGTTAACAGAGAACGGGGGTGAGAGAAGACCTCAAACTTCCCTCCGACCGCTCATATGTAGTGTTGCTGCGTGCTGTTCTAAAGTGGATTTAAAACAAAGGAGGGCATGGTGCTTCCTGCCAGAGAGCAGCACGGCTCTTCCCGAAAACCCTCAGTGTCTATATGCATTTAAGATTGAGGGTTGGTCACCAGCCCCAGAGGTGGGTTTGAATACACAGACCATCCTCTGGACGCTGTATAACTTGTCCGCCCCCAAGGCCCTGTATGTATGTGTTATGAGAGTATGAATATGAGTATGAGAAGACGATTTTTTAACATTTCCCCTTTTGGAGAACAGTTATCAATGTCTGGCATATTTAGGTATATAGAACCAGATATTTTTGATAAACACTGACCCTGAATCATCCCGTAGTTCTGCTGAAATAAGCTTTTCACTATTTTTCTCTAATAGTGTGTCTATATGCATTTCATCCTGTTTCTCCCTGTGTTCGCTTCTATTTTCTGTCACCCCAACAAGTCATTGCAGATGACTGCCCACTCCAAAAGCCTTGTTCTGCTGGAGGTTTCATTTGGTTAAAAGTGATTTTTCCTTACCACTGAAACAGATCAGATCCATGATAGTCTATACAACTGTCTATTTGTTCCAGTCTATACAACACTGAGGGACAGCTTGGCTGTGTTTGTCCCATATCTACTTCACATTGCACATACTTTACTGCTATTGGATCTAGAACAGAATGTAGACCCAGGAACATGGATGAATTTCAAGATGGCTGCTGAGATGAAAAGTTCAAAATAAGATTTAAAGACCTGATTTAAAGATTTAAAGCACTGATGTGCCCATCGGTGCACAGCTGGCAGCTGTGGCTACAACTGTAGCTTGCCTCCACCAGTGTGTGAATGTGAGAGTGAATGAATAGTGGAATTGTGAAGTGCTTTGGGTGTCTAGAAAAGCGCTATATAAATGCAATCCATTACGTGGCATGTCTCATTCCTTGGGGAAGACCATTCAGTTTCATCACTTTTTGACATCTATATTTCTCACCTTGCAGACTTGCAGTCACTCTCATCCTTGTCTTTAAACTGACTGTATGACTTCGGTTAAACAATACTGCTATAGCTCACCTGGTTGAGCAGGTGACCTGTTGTGAGCTACAAGTTGATGACCTCTGTTCTATCTAATACAGACAAAAAGGTTTCCATGAACTCCTCCTATTTCAAATCTTTGTCTATACTAAAATCACTGAGATTATCTGAGTAGAGAATCTTTTTGCTATCTTAAAGAAAATAAGAAGCAGCACATGCAAAGCTATTTATTTGTTGGGTCTCAACCCTGATTTGCACCAAGAATAGAAGGTAGAAAGGAGGAAAATATAGAATACCTCCTGCAAAACAGAGGGTAAACTGTGCAGGCAGGTATAGCTGCTTGTAATCTAACAGTGCAGGAACCTTTTGCGGGAAAGCAGGAGCAACAGAGAAAACACATACACATGTACAAGCAAATACCCACCTGTCATCCCACACACACAAACATCAGGCCACACAGGACGAGGATAGACTGAAGGGCCACAGCACTTCCTTCCCCACTTTTACAGACAGAGAGTACAGCAGACCTGAACAATGTTTGTATATTATTACTGCATCTGTTCTAAACATAAAATGAGCCAAAGGCAAGGAATTTGAGCTTGAAATAACAATAAATTGCATAATTATCCTTTTGGTAAACACTTAAAATAAGTGACTTGTAATGATGTTGTCCTATTACAGTGCCAAGCTAAAATTTAGTGAGCTCTTTAGAACAAGCCACTATTTCCTAAATACCTGTAAGATCCCATGGCAATGTGTTTAATTTTATGCACCTGTGGCAAACGGACTGAAAACACAACACATTTTTCATATGGTATATGTTTAAAGCAGCTGCATTGCATATTTTATCAACACTCTCACATGTTTTTTTTAATCCTGTGTCTGTACTAATATTTGTAGGTTACCAAATCATGCACGAACTGCTTTTCTGTGTAATCTGTCTTAACTGTGTCCTATTTAGAGTCCAACATGTCACTTCCCATCAAGATGAATTCTGCAAATATAGAAACGAAAAAAAATACTGAGAAAAGCTAAATGACATTGAGAAATAAGAAGTGAAAATGTTACAAACACAACTAATGGCTAATCACCAGGGGAATGCCCGAGGTTAAGTTTACTTAATTTTGTCTGTCTCTAGTAAAACCTTATCTTGATGCATGCTCAATCATCCAGGTAAATCCCAAAAGATTGATTCTGTTCATCTGGACTTAGCGTTTTCAGTGGGAGAAACGTTTTCGTCACTCATCAAAGTGACTTCTTCAGTCTCAGCTGACTGCAGGTTTCTCCAGATTTATAAACAGTACATTTGCACAATGACTGAAACTAGACCTGAAACAATCGCACAAGTCCTGCTGATTGGCTGAGGAAGAATAAAGTAGTCATGGCAAACCAATCACATGACCAATTTACAGTTTTTCCCAATTGTTTACACACAATTACTTATATTTCAGACACATGACTACAACATGTAACTGATGCACCAACTCCCTGAACCAATTTTGCAGACTACAAGCACAATTCCTGCTTTACTATGGAGGACCACAAGAGCCACATGCATCTAAATAAAGAATTCTGTGTTGAAATAATGAATTGTAGAATAAATTCTCCATTTGTAAATTCATTTTCGAATTCCAATATAATAAACTGATTTTTAAAATACTTTTTAAAAACTTCATTTCAAAAACATTTTTGAATTCCAATTTAATAAACTTCATTTCAAAAACCTTTTTCCAATTGCACTTTAATAAACTGCATTTCAAAATCCATTTCCCTTTCCTGTTCGCTCAGGGATTAACTTTTAGATTAGCTGTTGGATTAACAACTTCATTTTAAAAATCCTGCGGCTATTCAAATTAGCCACACCGTGGGATGTAAGGAGCTCTCTGATTGGTTGGACAGACACAGACTGTCTGCCTGGATTTTTTAGCTCATAGCTTCACCCTGCTAAGAAGCATGTGTGCTTGTACAAAGGCCGTTCAGCCTCGGGATTTACATTCGGCTCGACACAAATATGTGAAGAATGAAGGGACCCTGCAGCGAAACGGAGAGCGCAACCTCTGAGTGCCTGTTTACGCAGTTTGACCACCTGTTGAAGGTAAGGTGCTAACATGGCTAATGTTAGCATCACCGCTTGTAGCCCCGTTATTTTAAGGTCATCTTAGCTTATGAAAATTTTACGTCGCAGCGGTACGAGCTAGCTACGTGTATTGTAAGCTGTTGTGCTCTTCACAATAGTGATGGGATTTCCGGCTCTTTTTGGAGAACCGGCTCTTTCGGCTCCCAACCAGTTTTGTTGCTTTAATTAATTTATTATTAACAGTAATATAAAATTATGCACAAAAAGAATTACTAATGTAAAAAAAAAAGGGGGTTTTATATATGTTTATATATAAATATATGTGGTGGCCATCACCCTTGGGGGCATCTCCCATTTTGACCTCGGGACTTCCAGGTTATACTCGGCACAGATGTTCCTGTACACTATGCCGGCCACTTAGTTATGGCATTCCATGTATGCCTTGCCTGCTAGCATCTTGCACCCTGCTGTTATGTGCTGGATTGTCTCTGGGGCATCTTTACACAGCCTGCACCTGGGGTCTTGCCTGGTGTGATAGACCCCAGCCTCTATGGATCTTGTGCTCAGTGTTTGTTCCTGTGCTGCCATGATTAGTGCCTCTGTGCTATCTTTCAGTCCAGCTTTGTCCAGCCACGGTATGTACCACCTCCGCTATCTGCCGGTGGTACATACCGTGCATGGGCCTGTCCTTCCATTATGGTTCCTCGCCTTCCTCCTCTTTCTTGGGTTTCTGCTGCCTGAGGTATTCACTGAGCACGCTGTCAGTTGGGGCCATCTTCGTGATGTATCGTGGATGTTCCTTGTCTCATCCTGGACTGTGGTGCTGACACTCACCAGTCCCCGGCCTCCTTCCTTCCGCTTAGCGTACAGCCTCAGGATACTGGACTTGGTGTGAAACAAGGAGCTTTCTTGTCTTTATGTCAGTGGCTTCTATCTCCTCCTTTGGCCAGCCTATTACCCCAGCAGGGTACCTGATCACGGGCAGGACGTAGGTGTTGATGGCCCGGATCTTGTTCTTACCGTTCAGCTGACTCCTCAGGACTTGCCTGACCCTCTGCAGGTACTTGGTGGTTGCAGCTTTCCTAGCGGCCTCTTCATGGTTCCCATTCGCCTGCGGGATCCCCAGGTACTTGTAACTGTCCTCTATGTCTGCAATGTTGCCTTCTGGTAGTTCGATCCCCTCAGTTCTGACTACCTTCCCTCTCTTTGTTACCATCCGACTACACTTCTCCAGTCCGAACGACATTCCGATGTCATTGCTGTATATCCTGGTGGTGTGGATCAGTGAATCGATGTCTCGTTTACTCTTGGCATACAGCTTGATGTCATCCATGTACAGGAGGTGGCTGACAACTGCTCCATTCCGTAGTCGGTATCCGTAGCCAGTCTTATCAATGATCGCACTGAGGGGGTTAAGGCCTATGCAGAACAGCAGTGGGGACAGGGCATCTCCTTGGTAGATCCCGCACTTGATGGTGACTTGTGCTATGGGTTTGGAGTTGGCCTCTAGTATTGTCCGCCACATCCCCATTGAGTTACTGATGAAGGCTCTCAGGGTCCTGTTGATCTTTTACAATTCTAGGCATTCCAGGATCCAGGTGTGGGGCATTGAGCCATAGGCCTTCTTGTAATCAATCCAGGCAGTGCACAGGTTGGTCAGTCTGGTCTTGCAGTCTCGGCTGACTGCTCAGTCTACCAGTAGCTGGTGTTTTGCGCCTCTGGTATTCTTGCCCATACCTTTCTGTGCCCCGCTCATGTATTGACCCATGTGCCTGTTCATCTTAGCCGCTATGATGCCTGACAGGAGCTTCCACATGGTGCTGAGGCAGGTTATTGGTCGGTAGTTGGAGGGGACCGGTCCCTTCTGGGGGTTCTTGAGGATCAGGACTGTCCGGCCTTCGGTTAGCCATTCTGGGTGTCTCTCATCAACTAGCAGCTGGTTCATTTGTGCTGCCAGGCGCTCGTGGAGTGCAGTCAGCTTTTTCAGCCAGTAGACTGGACCCTGTTCAGGGAGGTCGCTGTGGTCTGCCCTCAGATCCACTAGCCACTGAGCATTGCTGTTATGGGTTGCGTCCTTCTCCTATATGCTTTTCCAGTATTGTTCTGTCTCCAGCCTTGGTGGTGCTGTTCTCATATTGTTCCCCTGTCACTGAGAGTACACTTTGGCTGGTTCCGTGGAGAACAGCTGGTTTATTCTCCTGCCGTCTATCTCTCTGGTGTACCTCTTCAAGTGGCTGGCCAAGGCTGTGAGTTGTTGCTTGGCAGTTTCCAAGGCCTCAGATATGGACAGCTTTCTGTACTTCTTAGGCACCTTCTTCATTGTACCTTTCTGCAACTCCGATAGTTGGCTGACCTCCCTCCGTGCTAAAGAAAGAGAGACCTTTGAGATGTGAACGATTTGTGATGTTTAGTGTGTTTGCAGTGTGTATCTAGTGTGTAGTGTAGTCAATAGTTTTGTTTTGTGTGTCAGAACAATGAGGTGACTGGTCAATGTCACAGTTCCTGCCAAAAGGTTACTACAGGCAGACTGCAGTGTAAACGCTGTCTCCCGGTGAAAAAAACAGGAGGAGTGATACACCTCCTGCTGGCAGGCGTGCAGGTATCAGGCTTGTGATGTTCTCCTCTGTCTTATAGTGGACAGAAATTATTTTTTGGAGTTGCACACATAATTTGTGTGGCTAAGTAACTTGCTCAACACTGATGGTGACAGGAAGTGTGCTTAAATAGTGGAATTTATGAGCCGGTGAGGAGCAGGTGAGTTAACCAGCTGATCATTGAATATGTGAATGTGAATATCAGGCAAACATATGGAGACGCTGGGGAGGAGCACCTGTATGAAGAAACGTTTACCACTGACAGGGAAAAGAAAGAGAGAAAAATAAGACCCAGACTGGGCTAAAGAGTTATTGATGATCACAATCTTTTTATTTTCTCCATTTTTTTCATTCATTCATTCATTCATCATGTAGTGTGCATTTCATTCATCTTTTGAAAAAAAATTGTTTGCACAGTGGCTTTTTCTTTTCACAAGGATATTAACAGAAGTAGAGAGACAACGGCATCAATGTTTTTAGTCTTTACAACAAGAGTGAGTGTTGCTGATGTTTGACAATCAGTTGCCAAGCCCTTGGGATTTGTGATCATCGCCTTCTAAACAACATAATGCACAAATGGAGAAAAAACTGAGTCTTAGCCTTAAGTCACCAACAGGCAGATCCATAAACTGACTTATTATGAGATTTTGATCCAGTTTTACTCTGCACATCTGTTTTTATTATTACGGTAAGGTTATTTCATTCTGCACAGCTTTGCTGTCTTTACGGTAGTCAATGCAAGCACACATCCACATTAAAGCCACAGAACAGTCACGTTTTGAACTTATCACACATGACGCTACCCAGCGAATCAAGTCATTCCTTCAGAGTCGAAGTGCCATCAAGGAGACGAGACAAGGAATTCTGAAGTAGTAAGTGATATAAGAGGTTAAATGTTTTTGTGAGATTGTTACATTTGAAGTTTAGTTGAGGAAAAAGAAGAAAAGAGGGAAACTGAAACTACAACTTTTCCTTATGTCTTGTTTATTAAGTGATTTATTTGAAGACAACTTTCTCAAAAGTTCTATATTTTACTTTTGAATGCAAAAGGTACATTATTATTATTATTATTATTATTATTATTATTATCATTTTATCAAATAACCCTCCAGTTCATATAAATTAAATGATAAATGTTATTTAAATTGTTATTGAATTGTAGTTTCTTTCTTTGACTTGGCAGCCAGATGTTGAATAAATAAAGACATGGATTCAACGATTACTACTATTACTAACACCATTACTACCTCAAAATATACTGCATTGAATCATAATGCAGGTGAAACAGTAGAATATTCTGGACCTTTGTTTGGGCACATTTTCTCTGACTGGACAACTTTAAATCTTTATTGAATACACCTGTTAGGCACCCTTTCTGAACTCTGTCTGAATTGATTATTTTCTATAGTGACTGTATGAGTACATTTTGACCGTGTCTCAATTAGCCTGCAGTTTTTTGTGTTGCCCCCAGAGGTCAGAGTGGGTAACTAGGTCAGAGTATCTAATAGTAAAACAAAATGCACCCAAATATGGAAGACACAGAACAACAGAGACCCCTCCCAGCAATCTGCACAGACAAATCTGTTGCTACCACCTCGATATCTGCTTTCAGGGGTTTTTTTTCTACATAGAGAAATAAACTGACTTTGTTTTCTATTCTGGTCGTTTGGTTTCTTCTTCTTTTCTTTTCCCCTTTTTTCCATTTGACAGGGAATCCAGTGCTAATCATCATCAGACCAGATTAGCTCATCATTATTCTCAAGAAAGAGTACTGAGTGAATTTTGCGTCTCAGATCAGCCAGGCAGCAGCTTTATCAGGTAGGTGAAAAAAAAAGTCATCCTTTACAATATTATACACCTGTGTGTGGTGACACTAGTACTTAGATTTGATAAACATTCAGTAGATTTTTGTGTTCATTTTATAGATTTTACCATACCTTTGAAATCAAAATAATGCACCTTAGCTGTTATGGGGTTTGTTTTTGTTTTGGGGGGTTTTCGTAAAGATTTGGGGTAATTGTAGTGATAACATATACAGTACAGCAGAGTGTATAAACATTATACAATAAATATGACTACACTACTGTGTCACAAAAATGTTAAAAATTATTTAGAAAGTTAAATATTAGTGTATATTGTGTGTAATCAAAATTGATTAACCTTAACACTATTAAGACCAAAAAAGAAAAACTAATTTAAAATGAACATGAAAAGAAGCCTAATGAACAGCAGAAAATTGCTTGGCTAGAAAGTGAAATATCCACTATGTTTGCTAACACGTTTGTCAGTCACTCCTTGGGGTTTTCAACCTCAGGTGAAAACTCGATAGGAGAGGCATTATGCAAAGACATGGCATTCATAGTTGTCAGTACTATTGAAATGTTGTATTCCCAAATGCTGAGTGGAACATTAATGTCAGTCTCAAGACGCTTCAGAAAAAAATGTCTAACATGATTGTGATCCAAAAGAAACCGCAGCCATCCTGCAAAGGTTTTTAAGAGAAAATTAAAAAGAAAACTCTGACTTGGATGAGTATGTGCACAAAATTAAAATAGCCAACTGGCACAAAGAGTGATACACAATATCTTTTATTCTTCAAATCTACACAAGACTGACATTCTATTCTTCCATTCAGAAATTTATTTAAAAAATTAAATAAAATTTTAACATTGGATTCTAAATAATGAAGGGTACGCCCTCTAGTGTTGCTTGAAGGTTTTGTTCCATGGCTGTATTTTTGGTATTGTCCGTTTTACCCATTTGTTTAAATTACACACATACATATAAGCAATATATGATACTTTTACTAAAATAATGCCATTATTTATTTGTGAAATATACTTTATTTACATTACACAGAGGGGAAATCCCTTTTCTACTGTGATGGCTCGTATTTGTCAGATAAAAATTGGTATAAATAATTATAAATAAATGTCTATTGGCATTAAAGCTGTTTGAACATCCACTTTGACAGCCGTGGTTTATTTTGGTTATGATGATAAAATGTAGTGTTTTGATTTCTTTAGTCTCAATCAAACATCCCAACATTAGAGAAGAATGGCCAAGCAGAAAATTATGATGGGATTCTGTCTGCTTTTTGCAGGTAACATCACTGGTCAGCTATTTATTTCCAGTCTCTTTATGCTTAATGTGTATAATTAAATAATTTCCTTGTTATTTTCAAAATTCTCTTTCAGCCATCTGTAACTCCGCGTCAAGTGATGAATGGAAGGCCACTGTTGTAAAAAGCATTGATGCTCTGGTTGGATCCTGTGTTGTGGTACCATGTTTATTCTCCCATACTGGAGGAAACCTGCCCACGTCCAGACTCAGAGGAATCTGGCATGAAAAAAATGACAAAAAAATAAACATCTATCAAGAGGATTATACACTGATTAAGGACAGCTTTAAGGGCCGAACAAGGCTGGTGGGAGAGCTGGGTCAGAACAACTGCACCTTAGAAATAACTGGAGTTAAAGATCATGACAACGGCCCTTTCTGTTTCCGGGTTGAACTAGTGCAAACAGAAAACAATGACCCCACCAAGGACATGTTCTCCTTTGTTGAAGACTGCGTTGAGTTGAACATGATCAGTATGTCACCAACTTTCCATGACTTCAAACATCTATACCAGTATTCTGTTAAATCACTTTGCCTCCTACTTTATGTCTGACTTTTTCATTTTCAGCTGAGCCTCCAAAGCCTACATTGATCCAACCAAAGACAGCCACTCAAGGAGAGCCCTACACTGTCACCTGTTCAGTCATCCACACCTGCCCCACTCATGTTCCTAAACTCACATGGAATCTGGATAGTACAAAGGTCATTGTGCATCATAAAGATATTAAACATGGAAACTGGGAGACACAGTCCATCCTGACATTCATTCCTGAGGAGAAGGATGACAACAGCGAGATAACCTGCACTGCTGAATTTAATGGAGGGCAAACATCACCTGAAACTTTCACACTCCATGTAAAACGTGAGATATTTTTAATTAGTTGTTGAATTTTGTAATGTTGAATAGAAGTTATACTCTGCTTTAAAAATAAAACTAGTTTTACCCATATGGAAAAGAAATAGTAAAAACATATATGATTTACTCATGAAAGTGGCCACTTTCTCATTACTTTCATATATTTTTTTAGTAAGTATACAAAACATACAAGTTTCATTATATAATTTTTCAAGGGATCTTATATGTGTTTTCACTCTTGTATGCTTTTCATACAAGTTTCATACAAGACAGATAAAAACTTCATAAGATTTATACATATCTTTTCCATATGGGTAGTCTCATTTCTACTGTTGCAGCAAAAAAGAAGGGCACTAACACGACTATTTTTTTCAGGTGTAGAGAACTATAATCACATCATCATTCCCTCTGTGGTGGGGATTGGTACCACTGTGGCCTTTGTACTCGCCTGCATTTTCATGACTAAAAAATACAAGTGAGTAATACAATGTCATGTCGATCTTAACTGACAGCAGATATCTGATAGGCAAAACACCTTGAGGAAAAATAAGTATTTTATATTTATAAGGCATGTCTTCAGTTCTAATTTAAAACAATTATGGAATTTAACTTTTTGTGCACAGCATCTTAATTTGCGTGCTTCCTAATAAACAACTTTTTTTGTTAAAGGAAACGCATTGAAGAGCTTCAAAGTCGAGATGGCAGGTAAAAAAACAACACAGTGATTTTAAATGATTTCAAATGTATTCTTTCATTATTATAATGTAGTTTTCCCCAATTTTTAGCATGTGGAATCGGCTGTCGAGGATGTCTCGCAGGTGAGAAAATAGTATTTGTGGGAGAGGAAATAGAGGAAAAAAACAGCTGCCCTTACCCTCCAGTGTTGTTTTTTTTTAAAAGGCTTAATGTGTCTTGCATTTTTGTCATATAAAATCACATGCTTAGCTTAGCTTTTTTGCTTAGCTCATTAGTACGTTACAAAGAGAAACAAACGAGAGAAACAAACGCGTGCCACATTCCTGAGTAAGTCATCCTCCTAAGACCCAAAGAACCACTTTTGTCATCTGTGGAGGACATGAGCCTGAGACCTCTATGTAAAGGACCATTTCTGCAGATATTATGATTCTGTTGGTAAAAAAAAGTCAAAAGGATTTTACTCAAAATTGTGGAAGGGGAGTCAAACTTGGAGCTTTAATGAAATGAGGCAGAGAAAGGCCAAACATTATAGCAGGAAGGTGAAACCTCAGAGCAAGACATATTAGCTTTTGTTTAGGAACAATATAATTGCACCCAGCATCTATAGTAAAACATGGTTTAATGTAGACCTCTGAATGCAAATTCATACGTTACACCCCCGCTAAGGCCACAGATGGTTGATTCCCTTCATAGAGGCGACCTCTGTGGTAGCTGAGAAACAAAATCCCACCACTTCAGAGTAATAATACTTCTCATCAATAATGGACATCAGGTGTCATCATTTTGTCCCTCCTTAGAAGCTGTATGTCGCTATCTGAGCTTTTATCTTTTTGCTCTGTTATTTGTCCTTCCACCACCTCATCTGGATGACTAGGATGACTCTTCTTCTGCCTCACTCAGCCCTCTGTCACACCATCCATGGTCATTGTTAGTGCCATGGGTGACATGACTTAACAACCCAGGTTGAAGTGAGTGTTTGGCATGCAGAATGAACTTTATGTCTAGTACAGGGAACAAAATAAAAATAAAAATCATAATTTTGAAGAAAAAAAAAGTAAAAATATGTAGCAATATATAACATGTTCCTTTCAACCACAATAGTTAAATTATCTAAAAATAATGTAAATATCAAAGATTTTTTCTTCTGGGTGTCAAGAGGATAAACACTTAACCATATTTCTTTTTCATGTTGTAACTGTTAACTGAATTAACGAATAATTTAATTCGTGGAATCTCCAGGATTCGTTCTGGAGCAGGACCATCTCGTTCGGATCAAAGGCAAGAGTAATTCTAATGAACTTTAGTTCTCTGAATGCAGTAGATATTCTTAGTGTGTAGTTCTGTACAACCCCTTCCACAGTTCTGTAAAATGCTGCAGATGTTTGGCCTCACTGTAATTTGCATGTCTGTGCAGAAGTCCGAAGCCTTCTCTCATTTTTGATCAAATCTACACTTCTATTTATGTTTCTTAAAACATGCCTGTTTCTCTTCCTCTTTTTTGCGTACAAGGTCTATTTGGAGCAGATTTTCAAGGTAGGGTGTGAAAAAAACATTTATAGTGGCCAGTCTTGTCAGCTTCTTTTATAAGCGGTATATATATATGTACATAT